GCCATTTTCACAATCAGATTTTGTTAAAATTCAATAGTTGCTAAAATCCAATTGTATAAAGTCATAACAAAATAAAACAATGAAAGTGAGAATATTTTGAGGAGTAAAATCAAATGAATTTTTACTTTTTACTCCATGGAAACAAATCTCTAGTGGGCAAAAAGGAAATTTCACAATTAACTTCTGAAAATGTCCAAAAGTAAATTATTCAGCTCAAGTAATATTACAGCCAAATTGTTTTGCTTTTCTTAATCTAACTTCCTAAGAGAGAAACTAAGAGAAACTTGACAGAATGTCAAAAATAGATAAAAACTGTACTATTGTTTAAATCAGACAAAAGGGACATCTGCAACAGACCTGAATTAAAAATAACCCAAATTTGTCTGTAGAATTTGTTTGACAGTATAATATTGTCACTAATTGAAGTCTCTCTTTGATGATCAGGCAGGTGGAAGTGATGAGTAGTTTTGATTCTCGTTAACCAGCATCATCCAGAGTTTCACTATGAGGAAAAAAACACACTTAGGTCAGTAATGTGGCATATGAAATAAATAGGTAACTAGATAAATAACACTAGTGAAATTGTTTGTTTCTCAGACTGTGCCACTTTGCTGAGGAGCTCTTTATTTCACATGGATATATTGTCTTACTATGCATATAATTGTTTATTAGTCTGAATGTTGTATTTCATAAAACTCAAAAGAAGTTTCTGGTTGTGTTTATTTCATATCCACTTTCACTTTAAGATGGAAATTTTGAGACTGTGGCCATCTCTCCCAGGATGAAGGTCTCAAGTAAAGAGAGATTATATCCATTTTATTAATGGTTACGCTCTTCCTTGTAGCTTTTGAAACAACACATTTACACCTTTACTCTGGTATGTTGTGTGCCTTCACATACTCTATGAAGCATTGTGGTTGATTCCAGAGCCAATTTTTGGTGCCATTTAAGCCCTGCTGGTGTAAGAAAATACAGTGAACAATATTCATAATTGTACTTTTACTTCTTATCACAATAGTGAACTATTTAGCAGTTCACTGAGGTTAGGATTGGTTTTGCTTCTCAAGTTGAACTTTCTGACATTGACAGTGTTAAAACAGTCAGGGATTTTAACTATATTACATCTTAACAGTTCTCAAAATATACAAATTAAACTATACCACAGACTCAGCAAAAACAGCCATCCAGCAAAAATGTTACTACATCATAAATTTAAGTGATTATTTATTTAAAGAAAACACAAAAAGAAGGTTTTTGTGTTTTCTTTCACTTGATACATGGAGCAATAACAACATATATGTTTTATTTTGAAATGTATTTTTATGTTTGTTGACCAGGGAAATTTAATGAGTTTTCTATAAGTTTATTTCAAATGGAGTTTCACAAAATATCATTGCAGCAATGTAGAAGAATAATGTAAATACTAAAGAGATTAACAGTAAATGTTTTACAATAAAGTTTGTTTCTTTTCCTCCCACAGTATAAAAAAAACATGAAAATTAGATTAATTCAGAATTATAAATGTCTCTTACTCTAAATTTCTAGTTTACTCTTTTTTTGTGAGCAAATGTTTGAAAGAACATAAAGAAATATTAAAATATTCTTACCTCTTCATGACAGGACGCTGGACACCTGTTTCCTGTGTGGATCATTTCTGTCCTTGTAGCCCTGGGTGTTGATCCATTGTATGATTGTTGTTTGATGGTCATTTGTCATGACACCCTTGTCTTGAAGCAGGCTGTACCATTTCTGCACCATCTGGGTGCTGTTTTCTTGAAAACTCTTCTCAAACATGGCAACCCGGGTTTTGCTCTTCTTCTTGTTTTGAACATTCTTGGTGTCAGTCAGCTGGCATCTGAGCATTGCACTGAACGTCATCAGTTTAAAGGTTCCAACAACATCATCTTTGCTTATCATGGAAGCTAAGCATGATTTTAAAGCTTTTGGCTCTGGAGAAGATATATCCTCAACTACATCTTTAAGGTTGCGATCAGTTGGCAGCTTCAGGCCTTCTTGTTTCTCCACACCAGAGGTTTTGCTGGTATCTGAGCCAGACAGATATTTTCTCGCTTGCAACATTGCCACTGCCAATTTGCTCTTCTGGTTCAGTTTGTTAGCTTCCACTATGGTACTGTTTGAAGGCTGCTGATTTGCATTGACAGTTTTTTCTACTGCTGGAATTGCTGGTTTTTTCAAATATCCTTTGTATTGTTCAATCTTTCCAGTTATTTTCTGCAGCAGGGTTTTGTTTTCCTTTATAATTCTTTCTGGTCTACCGGCCTCTGCCATGTACCAGTCTCCTCCTCTGATTGTTTCCGTCAACTCTTTGCGCTTCATAAAAGGTTCCCATTGCCCTGATTGTTTGAGGAGCATATTGGCCTCCACAGATCTCAGGCGGTTTGCCTCAGAAGCAATCTCTGAATCACTGGCTTTTGGTTTCATGCCTCTTGCCATAGCATGGAACAGAGAACTCTGTTGTTTACTGTCTATGCTCACTGCCTTATTGTCGATGAACACATCATAATGACCATTAGGGTTTTGGGTGCTTTTTGGCCTGTAGATCAAAGTCACTGTTTCACTAGCAGATTTGGTACTTGGACTAACTTCCTGCATTTTGGTGAGTTTTCCTTGTTTGTTTTCTGAAAGAATAACAACTCTGGTACCAGTGGCTTCAGACAGGACTCTGATATCTAGAATAGTACCAGCAGCTTTGTTGTCCTTGATCTTTTCAGCATGTGATCTTGCGAGTCGACCAGCATTAGCTGAAAGTTTGGCATTTGGATTTACTGGCATATTTACTATGTAGTTGTTGAGTTGTCCAGCTTTAAGCTTTTCCTCTGTCCTCTCACTCTTTAAGCCAGATTTGACATGTCGTCTGATGGCCTCATGTGCTTCGTTCTGTGCACGAGAAACAAGGTGACTGAAAAACTTCTGGTAAAACACCTCTACCAAGGCATCAGCTAGTAAAGAGCTGAGGGTTTCGGCCAAGTCTTGCTTGAAAATTTTCAGCATGTCAGTTTCTGAGAAAGTTAGCTCATTTCGCTTCACTTTCAAAGGTTTTTCTTTGATAAATGTGTTCAGCTCTTTCTCAAAGTTTGAGAAAAACTTGCTGGAGAGGGTGAGTACTTCACCGATGGCATCTCCTGCAAGAATAACATGGTGGGTAACTTGAATACCTGTTAAAATGGCACGTGTTTTTCCTTTTGTGCCTTCTGTTGCGCTGTCAAGCACTTTGATGATTGATGAATTAAGCTTGTTCTGCCAACTAAGGTCTGCATATAATGGCTGTAGTGCAGAATCCCCCAACTGTTTATAAATGGAAAGGAGATCTTTCTTTCTGTCTTTATCTTCCAGGACCAGACGCAGTTGTTCTTTATATAGAAGATCTAACAGAGCAACATTATCCACCAAGGTAGCCAGGGGTTCTTTTTCCAGGTTAGTTTTCACATCTTTAACAACTCCCTTTGTTACATCATTTTTTATGCCTTTTAATATTTCGTCAAGTACTTTTTCTTCTGCTTTCTCAAGTCCGTAGAACAGTGTTTCCTCAGCAATCGTTTTGACTGTATGTTTTAAAGCATTTTTCATGTTTGTCTTTGTGACGGTGCTTAAACTCTGTTTTGCCTGTTTGGACAGAAACTTTGGCAATGACTTCAGTTTTTTACCTATGGCTTTGAACGCAGCTTTGGCAGCCTTGAATCCCTTCGAAATTAGTTTTCCAACTCCAAATGATATGATAGAAACACCAATGGAAATGGCTTTTCCAATAGCCCATTCTTTCCAGCTGAACTCTCCTGTCACCATGGCTGTAATACCTTCTATGCAGTCAGATATTCCTTCTGTAATGAGACCCATTCCTATTTGAGCCAAGGTACCGACTGTAAATACAGTGAGCAGTGCTCCAGCAACAATCTGCAAAACTCCAAGCAAGAAAACCACCAGACCCTCCCAGCAGAAACGAGGCTTCTCCTCAACAGAAAATACATATTTTAGACCACGTCTGTAGAGGTTATCAGCTTCTAACTGGAGAGCTTCATCAGCATCCGACACCAAGGAGAAAACAGGGGATTTTTTGGCTATTGCATCCCTCCCCTTTCCTTTGATTTCATCAATCTTTTGGATGGCCTCAGTGATGTTTTTATCAAAGAACCTGTACATGCTGCACTTGGATGTTATCTGTTTTTCAAGGCTGGATGGTTCACCTTTGCCTGAGTCCACAGTGGCCATTTTAATGAACTGCAAACAGACAATGCATTCTTCATTCAGATACTTGAGGGACTCTTGTGCCTTTAGTAGATCTTCTTTGGCTTGAGTCAGATAGTCTCCCTTTGACAGTTTAATAGTGCAGTATGCATGACTGTAAAAAGCGATGGCTGCCCAACTTTTATCTTGATTCATAGCTTTATCAAACAGCCTGGCACTATTCTCCCATTTTTTATCATCCAATGAAATGTTTCCAAAATTGATGTAGTGATAAATGCTTGAACATGGGGAAGTTTGAGATGAAGACTGTTCTCTTGCCACAGACAAATCCTTCTTTAGACTTTGTTGAAGTTCACTTTTCTTCCGCTGCTCAATGTCTTCTGACTTAATTTGCAGCCAGATCCCCCAGTACTCATTCATGATGGCAACAATAACTTTTCTATCATCTCCATCTGTTTTCTTGTAAATATCGTGAAGAGTCTCGCAGTACTCTGAAAACAGCTCCTCACGCAAATTCATCTCAGAAACGTCATTCATCATAGAACTGATCTTTTCTGCTGCAAGTCTGTCCCTCGTGCTCTTGGCTTCCTCCAGAGATGTTGCTGACCTGAAGTCATGCTGCAGGTGTTCAGTGCATGCAATGATCTGAGCAGATCCAGGTTTCCCTTTGCGTGCTGTTCGACCAAAAGCCTGGAGTTCTACTCTGGTGTTTTCAGAGAGGAAGGAGAGGATAACAAATAATCCTCCATTATTGTTCACCTTTTTGGACACTTTAATGTCGGTGCCACGCCCAGCAAGATTTGTGGCAACAATAACATCCCCAGACTCCAGCTCCTTGTCTATTTTGCTCAAACTTTCTTTATCACTGCGACTATAGAGGATGATTTCACCTTTAATGCTGCTTTTCAGTTCTTCATAGATCTCTTTGGCTCTGTTGATAGTTTCACAGATAACCAGGGCAGCTCTTCCTTCTCTGTATAAATTTGAGGAAATCTGAGACATGACAACTCCTTTTATTTCTGACTTCCACTCTTTAGAAGTTTTTTTCAGAGTTCCTTTGACCTCATATAGTTTCTTCCTGTTGAATGTTGGCATTCTGCATGCAGACAGGCTTGGATATAAATCCTGCAAAAACAGAATGTCCTTTTCAGTACCAAGTGTTCCTGTAGTCCCATATATTTTGCCATGGTACTTTTGGAAGAAGGAGATGTTAGAAATGTAGTTTGTCACTGCTGAAATTGTGCTCAGTTTGACTTGATGCTTAATCTCCACGAACTGCTGCAGACCATCACCCCACTTCTTATTCATTTCAATGATACCAGTGGATCTGAAGTCTACTGGACAGACATTCTCATTTTCAACAACATAGTCCCGTCCTTCCTTCAACTGCTTTGCCAGAAAGGCATTCTCCACCCACAAAGACATTTTGGTCTCAATGAGATTCCTCAAGAATCCAGGAATGCTGATTTTGTCTGTATTGTCTGTGCAGGGAGTGTACTGAATCTTCTCTGAGATTAACTCTGCAATGGGCTTGATGAGGACTTCTTCTGAGTCATAGAGAGGACAACACAATCCTTCACCCAAGACAAGAAACTTTAGGTCTGGTATTTGATTTGTGTTGTAAGGACTGAGTTTTCTTGGACAAAGCAGTCCTTCGTCATTTAATGTATAAACTGTAAAACCGTAGGGGACATACTCTTCCATTTCTTCAAAAAAATTTATCACAGCATCTTGACTCACAATTTTCAGCTTTTTAACAATATCGTTCTTGTCTCCCTTATGGATGTCCTCTGTAAATCCCTCTGGTACAGTTTTGGTTTCTTCTGCAATACGTAAAATGTCCAACGGATCATTAATTTCACTTTCTTCTGTGTTTATTGAGTCAAAGATGGCCCTGAAGAATGAAGCAGGTGGACCTTGGACAAATGTCTGGTGTTCTGACATCAGGAAGCCATACTGTTGGACGTGTCCCCAGATCATTGCTAGAATAGTATTCAGGTGCTCCATGCAGACCAGGGGGCTGGACAGGTAGGTCAGCTGCACTCCTTGATCCAACAGCAGAGAATCCACTTCATCAATGATGATGCACTCATAGCTGCGATCAGGCCTCACATCTTTCATCTCAAATATCTGGCGAAGATGATCTGCAGCGAATGTTTCAATAGTTCCATAGATAATGTCTTTTTGGTAGCATTCCTTTCTACTGCTGTCGTCAATTTTATTTGTGTTTGAGTCAACAGTAATGCCAAAGGCCTTGTAGAAGTTTTCCCATTCTGCCGCATCTCTTTGACACAAAACCGAAGAGCTGGACACCACATCTACCTTTTCACCCCTAAACACACGCAGTGCTGCAAACATTGCTATGACACAAGACTTTCCTTCTCCAGTTCCCATTTCCAGGAGCTTCCCAGTGTTGGACAAGGCCAAGAGACACCAGCTTATCATCTGAGTGGCTCTGGGGAAATACTTCTTGTCGTCACTAACAGCATTGCATAACACTGCCAAGACCTCCTGAAGATCAGCTATTTCTGTGCTGTGGCTTAATTGTTTAGCCTTTTTTATGTCATTGTGTTTTTTGATTTCTTCTTTTTCGATTAGTTCTGTCACATGAGCTACTATCTTGTACGATTTGTTCAGTGTTTCTTCATCAATGTCTTCCATCTGTCTTATCTCATCAATAAGGGAGCCAATGTTTTTTATTTTCTCATCTCCAAGGCTTTTCCCTAAATTCTGGATCAGATTTTCTGTTTTACATGACTCTAGTAAACTAATGACAGATTGTTTCTTCTCATCTGTCCACTTGGAAGACACCCTATATGTTTCCAGCAAATGTAAAATTTTCATGATTGAAATGCATCCCTCACCATGGTGGTGATTGATTAATGCTCCAAGAAGGTTTAAAAGTTCCAGTGGTGACCAAAGATGTTTGTCACCAAGATTTGAAACCATTTGAAAGACTTCAGTGGTGTCTTTACTTGAGGCTCTAATTTGCTCTGAAGATGCCAAAATGCTCTCAAAGCACCATGTTTCAGCAGTGGAAGTCATAATTTTTCCACCTTCATTTTCACTGGTAACCACTTTGAGGAGATTCTCAAGAAACGTCAGACAGAACATGTCTTTAGGAAGAATTTCCTTTCCACTAATCTTCTTAAAGATTTTTACAATTTTTGCTTCTGTACTTGGACTTTCTTTTAAATTTGAATGTAGAGCTTGAAAAATGGCCTTGATGAACCTCTCTCTGTCTCCCATGTTTTCTGATTGTAATCTTCCCATAAGGTCTTGCAGGGCTTCTGCAGAACAAGCAAGGGATTCACTATCCTTGAGCCTTGACAGATCAGGAGTTTGTGATGCCAGAAGACATTCTTCTTCAATGATAAAGCCTCGTCTGAGATGAGGAATCTGGGTCTCAATGACCTCTTTCCAGTACATGAAGTAGTCAGACAAAAAGTCTTGAAGTGTACCATAGATGACATCAGCTTCATAGATCGTCATAAAAGATGTGTCGGTTTGTTTCCTGATATTTGTTCTGACAGATATCCCAAGGTTCTTGTAGAAATCAGACCATTCCTTAACTTGAGTTTCAGTGTCATTGTCAGAGTTTAGCATAATGTCCATTTTGTTCCCCATATAGAATTGTGCTGCAGCAAACAGGGCAATGACACACGGATCTTCAGAAGAAACCAGTTGTGGTATGTTTGTCTTCCCGGTTAGCACCAGCACACACCATTGCACCATGTGTTTCACTGTGGGCCACCAACTCTTTGCATCAAAAACTGCTTTGCAGAGCTGAGACAGACAGTTCTGTAGATTCTTTGTATCAAAAGTTTTAAAATTTATAGGTCCCTTGGGAGCATTTTCTGAAAACTGGAAAACACCAGAGATTACTTCTCTTATTTCTTTAATCCTGGAGTCATCCAACTTCTGTGACATTTTTATGTTTGCTAGAACTGCGTCTAGATTGCTTTCATCCCTCTTTTTGAGAATCTTATGAAAATCCTGATAGAAACTTTCTGAATTAGCATTGTCAAGAGCCTGAATAAGAGAGTGCCCAGAATCATCCGTCCAGCTTGGTGATATGTCATAAACCTCAACCAACTTCAGGACTTTTGCTACTGAAACATCTTCAGTGCATTTTAATGAGAGTGCTTTGAGCAGATTCACTGCCTCCATTGGTGTCCATTGGTCTATTTCTACAAGTTCAAGGATCATCTCAGTTGATGCAGAGTGGCTCTCTTTACCATTCAGATTGACAAGAGTCGACATTAGAAGTTTCAGACATTGAATTTCCATTTTTAAGATAAACATAGAGGCTTTGCCAACTGTACCATGCATTGATGAAATGAGGATGCTCTGGAACTCAACAGGAAAAATCTGCTCAATAGTGAGCTCTTCCTTGGCCCATTTCTTTGCTATAATGACCGCATCAGCATCAGATTTGTCTTGGTCACTGATGTAGTGCATCAGAGTAAGATACAAGGCTTGGGTCAACTCAAGACTCTCAGAAATATTACATGCTGATTGGCTGAAGGACCCAACTAAGGACTGCACATGATTGGAGATATTTTCTCGAGAAACCTCTTCTGGTATTTCCACAGACAGCGCACACAGCTCTGTGATGTATACCTGAGCGTGCTGCAGGGTGCTGCTGGATGGAGGATCATTTATCCATTCATCAAACAGGAGTGTGTCCAGAGCTGAGAGGATCTTACCCAGCAGATCAGCTTTTGGAGCAGTGAGAGTGAGATCAGAAGCTTCTATGTTGCATTTCAGAGAGAGGATTTCTAGAAGCTCATCTTTTCCCCCATAAGACGTATAATCAGCTTCAAATTCATCCAACTGCCCAATCAGAACGTTATGCTTGGACTGCTGCTCTTGTCTACTTCTCTGTTGTTTCTCATACTGCTCTTTGGCTCGTTCCTTTGATTCTGATATTCTTTGACTCAACTCCTCTTTCTTTCTCTCCTCTTCTTTCCTTTTTTGTTCTTCTTGTCTTCTTCTCTCTTCTTCTAACCTTTTTCTCTCTTCCTCTGTCTTTTTTTGCTCCTCTCTCCTCCTCTCCTCCTCTTGTCTCTTTCTCTCCTCTTCTCTCCTTCTCTCTTCCTCTTTCCTTTTCCGTTCCTCCTCCCTCCTTTGTTCCTCCTCTCTTCTCCTCTCCTCCTCCCTCCTTCTCTCTTCCTCCCTTCTTCTTTTTTCTTCTTCTTCCCTCCTGCGTTCTGCATCTCTGATTGGCTTATAAAAGCAATCTGGACACTGGTATAGATTATTATAGCCAACTTGTCTGTAGTATTCCCCTCCATTGAACACGTGCACATGCAGCCCATGGATGACATCTTGTCTTAAATTATCGAAGGACCGACATGGAGGCAAGACTCTGTTACAGTTGCAGCACCTGAGGCTGTCACCCATGTTCGCTTCTGATGGTACGTTTCCCATTTTTAAAAGTTTATTTTCAACTTACGTAGCAGTCAGCTTGTGCAACAGGTGTCTTACCTGAAAAATAAAAAGGAAAAAAACATCTGTTACATTACGAAATTACATGTATTTTCTGGTTTTGTCCAAAAACTATTTCTGATATACTTTTTTGTGTTTAATGAACTTTTCCTAAACTAATTCATTAAAACTAATATTGGTTTTTACAATTTTTTAAATTAATATTAAATTACTTTGAATCTGAAATGAAATACATAATTTTGTCATAGACAGCTTTGAGCTATAAAGAACTACAGTTGTGTCAGTTCATACCACACCTGGTTTGTTGTTGCTGATCAAAGTGTTTTATTTTTTCAATAGAAAAAAAGATTTTTTCTTTCCATGCTAGGAAGAAATAGTGCAGTTTCTGAGTCAGTGCAGAAGGTTTCTTCACGTAATGAAGCAATACCAAATAAAAAAAATTAACAATAGCATAAATTATTATGAGCGTAACTGTTTACATACTGAAAAAAATGTTTTCCATTATTACACAAGCCTCACACACACTTGGGCAAAATTGTTGGTACCCCTCTGGTAATAGAAAAACCCACAATAGATCAAGATTGGTCAAACTTTCACAAAATCATTCAAAAATGATTTATATCAATATTGTATTGTTTTCACTTTCTGGCTGAATTCAAACTTTTAGGAGCTGTCACACAAGAGTGAACGTATGTTTGTTTGGGTGTAGAGTGACAGAGGGATGTCCATGGCATTATTCTACTACATCAGTAACAAAATGTTGTGAAACTTTGATGCAGACATAATAGTTTCAGTAACACTTTATTTGAAGGGGGTTGAATAAGACTGTCATGACACTGTCATAAACATGACATAACACCTGTCATGAACATGAATAAGCCTTCATGAATATTTATGACAACAGTTATAAATATTCATGAAGACTTATTGATGTTCATGACAGGTGTTATGTCATGTTTATGACAGTGTCATGACAGTCTTATTCACCCCCCTTCAAATAAAGTGTTACCATAGTTTCTTTCAAGAAATGCTTTCACTTTGCTGGCTAATATTTAATAGAAAAAAAAAGACAAAACACAAACAGTGTAAGTTCATCTTATTGTGAGCATGTATGAACATCTTATAGGATGTTGAAGATGCCTTCCTTACAGAGACAAACTGACTAGTCAAAATAAGTCATAAATGATTAGTAAATCAGGAGGTTACTGTTTAGTAACAGAAAATATAAATGTAATATGTTCAGGTAAATATAAAGATGGAATTATTACACCGTTCTTTCGGTCACACGATCTGTGGTTTGTTGCTTTTTTTTGCAGATTGTAGTCTTTTACCATATTATACTGCACCACCTCTAAAAAAATAAATCTTAAAACGTATGCATGGCGATAGAAAACATATATGTTCTATACAAAGTGGGGAAAAGCTCTGTGTGAATAACTGGTTTAAAAATGACTTGCATAGCACTTTGCTAGACCTAGAATATGTTAAAAAGATGCAAAGTAAATGATTTTACCAGCAGATGGGTTGGCTCAGAGCCCAGTGAGGGGATCCTCTGTTGTGAAAGTGCAGCTTGACAAGAGCGATGAGAGAAGCCGCTTCACAGCCCTGAAATGAGAGAAGAGGTAAATCAGCACAGGAAAATATTTGGGTCTGTATTTTCAAACTTTTCTTATTGCATTTCAGACAGACTCACTACTTTGTTGATCTGGCAATGACAGTTTGACAACAACTTGCAATCATGCATTAAATTAAAATGATTGAATCATTTTGCAATACCTTCATCTGAAGTCTTTGAGCACAAAGCAAGTGAACTTGAACTTGAACTTGAACTCGAACACTCCCTCTTGTGATGTGCATAGATCAGTTCAACTTCTGTATTTAAAGGGCAGCCGGGTCCAGCCACGCCTCTCAAGGCAGGAAAATGACTTATGTAATACCTTAATTGTGACATATGTTTGCTCAATGCAAATACTAACATTTCAGGATAACTTTTACTGGATAGTAATCCCTGTTCTGGGTTAAAATTTTAGCAACTTTCTCGGGACAGCCCTACCCAATTTAGAAAATTGTTGAAAAGCATAAAGAAAAAGTGCTTAACCATTTTTTAGATCTGGACATGGACAGGTTTGACCATTTTTTCACCTTAATTTTTTAGGTTCAAAAACATTTACTGAATGCTTTGGTTTTTACATTGATCTATATTTAAATTGCATTCTTTACATTATATTTGCTGCATGACACGTTGATTTTACCCAATTAATGGCCGAATAAACAATCAAAAGTAATTTGATAACTTTTATTTATTTATTTATCAAACTTTTGTCAACAACCTGCATAAATTAGATTATTAAATGAAAGGGAATAAAAGCTATGTTTCACAACTTTTTGGACTTTAGACAAGTTTATAGTCAGGTTGAACTGGACATAAGGTCACCAGATCTGGGTATAAAGATAGAAGAAGATAAGTTCTGATTCAAATAGGATACACAACTCCTTATTTGGAAAATGGGATTTACAGATTTTGCAATAGCTGATCTATGACAGTTTGGATGTCAAAAAAGCTGTAAAATTGACCTAGATAAGGTTCAGAAAATTCAGATTTAAATTCAGCTACGTGTTGTTCCATTATTTGTGGAACCAACGGATGAGACTGCGAGTCAAGATGTATATGTTGTACTGAAATGTTAGGAATGGCATATGGAGAGAAAAACAACAAAACGCTGTCGTTAGAGAGGAAATACTATTTATGGAGTTGCTTTTTAGAAAGATGCTTTTGGCATCACTTTCAGTTCATCATGACCTGGCCTCCTCCCTTCCTTGCCAAAAAGGTCAAAAGGTCTTCTGAGTACAATCAAAAGCAGGCAGAATAGGGCTAGATTACTTGTAGCATTGTTTGGGCGGGAATGTATCAAATTACTGGTACAGTGTGATGTTCTTTATTTAAAATGTGCTGGTTTTATGTTTGATAAAGTCCCGTGCCATTTATTTTAGTAACTAGTTCTAAATTCAGTTCAACTGGATTAAAATGAAATTATGCATGTTCATAGTTCACCATTCTTTGCTGTTGCCTAAAAACAGTTTTATGGTGGTAGAATTTCAAAATTAACTGTCCTCATTCACATATTTTAATATTTTTTTTCATTAAAAAGCAAAATTACTCTGAAATTTTGATTGAGAATAGTCCATTTGCACTTCGTTTACAAATTCGGTTGTGTTTATTTTTAGTTGATTCCTAAATGATAAGCAAAAGATTAGCGAATTCACGCGTATCTCTCCCCAAATGTGACTCTTTGCACACCTTCCAAGATCAACTGAGTATAATTAAGATAAGCTTAGGTTGTGCTTTTGACAGGAGATGTATAAATTTAACAGGTCCTCATGAAATGTTTTGTATTGTTCAATAAGAATTTGATCAATACAGGCCTATTTTAAACTCTGAGCAGCGGAGCCTTTAAAGGTGTTTGCAAGTTCCTGGATAAAATCAAGTCCATGCACGTTGACTGCCAGTTAGCAATTTTACTAGCTGCAGACTTTACATAAGACAAAATTCTTCTTGCATCTATTCAGGTTTTGTGGCGTCCAGTTATCCTCTTCCAGGCAAATATTAGTGCCCCCGTTTCAACACGTCTCAAGGTAAGAAAGATGGGAAACTCAATCTTCACCTTGTCATCTCCAGGTTTTATAATAAACCCTTTGTGCACTCATTGCCCTCAGCAGTTCAGCTTGTTTTTTTTGGTTGCCTTATCTTTCTGTCCTGGAAACGTATCCTCCATGGTTTTGTTTTTCTGGGTCTTGCCCTGACAGAGAGGATTGGCAAGCATAAATGTGTATTTTCAGAGAAAACCAAATCCCCTTTGTCAAATTTGACGATGTTAGGTAAATTGTATTATTATCAAATGTTGTTATAACTTTATAATGTTCTTGCTTTATGTACTCTTATTTGTTTAGTCATATCTTTTAAGAAATGTTCCTGTATTGTTAATCACTCTGATTTCCTTTCTCAGAGGGCCTCTCTGAAGAAGAGCAGTGACAGCAGCTCTCTACAGAACACCCTGCTTTTTGACCTCTCAGATAGCTGTTAAACCATCGCTGTGAAGATGTACAACTTGCTCTGTTTGACCCTGTGTCAGGAACTGAAGAATCTAGATTAAGACAGATTGTGTTGTTTGTTAGTGACAACAGTGTGATGAAGTGTTCCTCCCCCTCCCTTTAGAGTTACAGCGCTCTCTGTGATTAGCACCTCTTTAGACGTTGACTTTTAGAACATCAAGTTTATCTTGATTCTGTCATATCAAGCATCCAATCTAAACACCAGTACCACTTTGCACCAACCTGTCCTTGACTCTCTGCAGCTCCTAGATTTGATTTGTTAACCCTTGAAAGCAGCATGTTACATACATACCAAAACACAATCCTTATTTTGGACAATCTAAAGTTTTTAATGTTTCTACATCAAGCTTTAATTTAGAAACATTCCTCTCGAGTAACAGCTAACATAAATACATAAAATGTTATTTTACAACTTGAATCATAATATGTAAACCTTTTTTGACTTATGCTCATGTGATTTTTGGCTGGTCTGTCTGTCTGACTACCTGAGATAAATATAGTTAAAGGTATTTTTCCTCTTTTTGGATCAGTAAAACTACTTCTTCTTACTGTGTGTTATAGAAACAGTTGAACACATTACATGGATTGGCAGCAGGACCTGAATCACTGAGCTTTATCTACAGTGTGTTAAGAACCAAATATTCATTCAGTGACTTTTTCCTCACTGGTTTAATTTTCCATGTTCATTTTTTAAATAACTGGACTGATAAATATGTGCATGCAAAGTTCCTACATATTCTGGAAAATGATGGCATTCGAGGAGATCCAGAAATACCTGCTAGAACCTTCAGCCCATTTAACAAAGTTTTGTGATCCACAGTTTCAAAGGTAGCACTGAGATCAAATAAGCTAAAGCAATCTCAGTGTTGCTTTTGAAAGCCAAACTCAAAGGTGTCTGTAACTTACACAACCAGGATCATAGCTGGGTTTCTGCAACTTTTTGTAATTAATTCACAGAGGAAACGCAGCATGGAAGTAGGACAAGATTTGCAAATCAACCCAGCATTAAGATTAGTTTCCTTAAGGACAGGAGCCGTTTTGGAATACAATGGACCACAGACTTTCCTCAAGGAATTGTTCAATATTGACAGCCCTGCTGGAATGCAGGTTAGACACCGAGCAAATAGAAAGATAGGTAATACTGTCAATAACCAAGTAAAGTGTAAATACTACTTTATGATTATTTTTGTTCATGTCCTTGTTCACCCTCTGCCCCGGTGACTATTTTATATTACCCAGCATCGTTTCTTTCTGCTTTCTCTGAATTATCTTTTTCCTCAATTTGTGGTGTGTCTTTCCATCCACCCTACCAATTTTCACTCTTTTCCTTCTATGTGTGTTATTTTGTCTCATTTATCCTTTTTCCATTTTCTTCTAATTTCTCTTACTTTCTACACTATGACTAACTTGGGGAAATAGAGCAGAAGTGAGACTTAGTAAAACAGATGCTTTACCAGATATCACAACATCTACTAAAGCATCTAGTTAAGTATTGTTGATAATGTTCACACACTTATGAGGAAAGTCTTTTTTTTGGTTAATTATTTATGAAAAGACGACAAGTAGACAAAATCTTTGGACAATTATTCATCTCTGTGTTGCCCAGTCTGGCCCCTCTAGACAAACATTCAATACCCTGTTTCAAGAAAATAAAAAGCTGGAAAACAAGTAAGCCTTGACAGGCACAAAAAATTGTGCCTTCTCTTTCTCAAGTAGTTCATCTTGATTCTCTCATCCGATCTAAAAACTAGCACCACTTTACACCAACTTGGCCTTGAATCTCTGCAGCTCCTAGATTTGATTTGTCAAGCCTTGAAAGCAGCATAACTTTTGAATATGAAATTGTATTTATAAAGAAACAGCCTTTGTTTTATACATTCTAAGAATTTTAATTTTTGGAAAAAAATATGTTTCTAAGTTAAGCTTAAAATAAGGAATGTTGCTCTTTAGCAACACCTAGCATTCATTGACAAAATGATCACTGACAGCTTAAATCTTGTCACAATTTTTTTGGACTAATGCTTATTAGATTTGTCCAGCGTGACATTTTAAAAACATCTCGCTGACTGACCACTCTATCTGAGATAAATGCATTTCACCTATTTTTCATTTTATGGGATCAGTAAAACAGTTTTTTCTTTCTATGTGTTCTAGCAACTATTTGACAAATTTCATAGATCAGCAGCAGGATCTTTAGAATATTGCCAGTGAGTCCTAAGAGTAACTTCTTCACTCTGGTTTAATTTTCCCAATTCATAATTGTTTTAAATTAGAACTTTGGGTAAAACATTCAGTTCATTATTTTTGATAAAGATCATGTGCTAATCTTATGTTTAACAGAAGTCGTTTTAATTCAAGCGACCTTGAGGAAAATTATCTTGATGTGCTGAAGTTTAAAACTTTCTCAGGATAGCCCCTTTTTAAATGTTGAACACCTGCATATTCTTTAAAAATCTCTGCATGTCTCTGCACAAAAGAGGGTGTGTGAATCGCTTACTGCAAGTCAACCATTATTAACTTTAACAGGCTGAGATACAGATAAGGCTTACACGAGAAAATTCTTGAGAATCTATTTAGCTTTTTTCCAGTCAGTCTTGCCCCTCTAGGCAAACAGCCAAGCCTCTGTTTCAACATGTGTTTTCAAGAAAGAGAGAAAACACAATCTGATTTTTGTCAGCTCTAAACTTTGTGGTGAAATAATTGTGGCTTCACTTTCTCCAATAATTTATCTTGGATCTGTCATATTAATCAAACTCCTCATCTGAAAACTGGAACCACTTTAGGCCTTGACTTTTGGTAACTGGTTTGCTTTGTTAACCCTGTTAACATGGATAAAACATTTAAATATGGAAGATGCATAAAAACATTGAAACAATTGAAGGGGATCCATTATGCTTCCTTGAAACAATTTAGGATAGATATTGGTTATGCATAACACATTGATTCCATTTTTTCCCCCACAAAATCATTCTTAAAAAATGAGATTTCACTCAGTTCTTCATATTTTGAGAGGTGGGAGCAACATGACAAATTTAGCAGACCAACAGGTGACTAGCATGAAGGCGCTCTACTTTCTAGAGACGGACTAAACAACCACTGGAACTATAATGCCTCTTTATCTTCTCCAAATTTTTAATTAATCTGCCTCTGGTAATACATCTCCCTGCTGCTTGCTGCTAAACCTACATTCCCAGAACTAAGCATCTGTCTGATCAAGCACAAAAACCCAAATTTGAGATCAAAGCAATATTTACTTTTATGCCTTCGGGTGTCACTTTAGGCCATGACTTGAATAACATATTAAAATATGCATCAAATAAATTCTTTGGTGCTATTTCGTATTCACTAAATATTTCAGAAAAAAAAATATATATATATGGAGTATATATGTAATATATGTAATCCCAGTCTGAGGCTGCAGCAGAATGTCTAACACATTTTAATCTGAGATGAAAATAAATAACTTTGAATTTTGGTGGTAAAATGACTATAACTTAAAATTTGAGCTTTTATATCAGAGTTTAAGAATTAAAAATCCTGCCAGGTAGCAGCTGAGGTGAGAGGTGAATGGTAGAAACTCTAGTTTTTTTTTGTTTGTTTTTTTTTTCAAACAAAACCTTCTTGCACATGTCTCTGCTACCAAGTCTGTTACTTGGAGTTAGAGTAATTTAATCAATGATTAATACCAAATTCAACCCCCAAATAAGAGTTGCATGATGGACATGGATAGATTGAAATCTGGGCATTAATTCAAACTGGAAGATTTTCTTCAGCTTCACCTGCATCATCCATTCACTGCTTTATGAACTTCAACTGCAGCCTATCGGCATCAGTCAATCATCGTCTCCAATCATCAAGCAAGCCTCCATTCATAAGACCCTCCATCTACGGCTCCATCTGCTCACCAGCCAAGCTTCAACTCACCTCCACCCTTTCTCCACTTTGTTCTTCCAGCTCCTTCAGGCCTCCATCCTCTCTTTGGCCTCCACCATCAGGTCTGGACCCAAAGACGAAAACTTAAGAAAACTGTGAACAGCAGCATCTCTCCTACCAGTCAGGATTTACCAGTTGGTGACAAAATGACTCAACAATGTTCATCATTGAACAAAATGCTGCAAAAGGTGTTTGACTGAAAATTGCCATTAAATAAATAAGTTCTGTGGGATTTATTGATAAAACTGAGAGACAAGGACTAAATTTGCCTCTTTTCTTTCTTTCTTTTTTGGTTTTGCTGTGGTGTTCAAACATGGTACCTTGGCAAATGCTTCAATAATTGTATCTTTGCTTCAACATGTCTGAGTAAAAGAAGAAGAAGAAGAAAAGAGAATCTGGCCTTGAGGATTATTACCAAGGATCCCAAATTCATGAGAAACACAATCTGTCACCATCTCTGCCAAATTTTAAATTAAAATTGTTCCTTCTCTGCTCCCAGTGATTATCTTTCTTTTTATTGGTTTTTCTTTCTCAGCTATCTTGCCTGTGTGGATTGGTTTCTGTGGATATGATTACAAGAAAGCAGTGTGCATCGAGGACCACAATTTGAAGTAAAAATCAGTTAGTTTTCTAGTTTCCAGTTGGTTTCGTCGAATCCATAACCAACTCCCTTATGATGAGTGTTAATTATTGTCGTCTTTAGTTTAGATAAGGACGGTAATATACTTTAGGTTCCTGTCTGGTGAAACTGAGATATTTATTGAGAATTTCTGCAAGGCCCATCATCAGCAGTTCATTTTTAATGTTTAACTGCTGTACTCATAAATTAATTGATTCATCTTACCTAATTTTAAGTTGAAAGTGATAACAAACATGTTGACTTTAAATAGCTGTCAGTAAAGTTTATAATAAAATATATGTGTACTTGCAGCCTTAGTGATCTTAGTTTATCTTTTTTAATATTTTAAAGAAAAATAGAAACCAGGAAAAATTGGATAAACTGCAATTTGAGATTTCTTCATTTTTTTTAATCTTTGTTACTTTGCAATTAAAAAACCCCCACGTTCTTATATTTTTCAAATCAAACCACACATACTCCAAATTTCTTAAGGTTAATACAGCTTCTGCCAAGCAATAAACCACATAGCATTCTCCTTGATATTATTTAATAAACAGATTTATAATACAAACTAAATACACATGTTGTGGGAAGATCAAGTAATTGTGCTTCTTTTGTCTCTCTGGTGATGTCTTTACCCCACATTGCTTTATATCCTAACATATTTAATTCCCAGAGAAGTTTTAGACCATGAAGCCCTTCATTCATCCGATTTTTATTTTTGGATTTCCCAATTTTATTGGACCAGTCTAAAGTTCTTTAATTCTCCACTAGATGTCCTCAGTTGTCCACCTGCTCCTTCTTTTTCTTTTTCG